GCAAAAATAAATGGTTTTGAGTGAAGTAATGCATCATTGTTCAGTATTAAAATACGCGATTAATGGACCAGGACGTGGTTGTTCAACTGGAATTCTGAAAAGATGAATCAAAGCTCATTTAATTTTTGTGTGTGGAATATTACACCACATTCTGTGGATATTAAATGCATTGGTATGATCAGTGCGAGCTTTAAATGAAATATACAGTATTCTTTCCGAGAAAAAGTTGGTACACTATTATTTTACGATAGTTGAACGGGTTCGTACTAAGGTTGCCTCATTTACATTTGTTTTAAAAAATTGCCCTTTATTATCTATCATTGAAAAATCATCATTTTACAGAGAAATGTGTCTATCATGCTAATTTAAGAAATTGACAGGATTTTCCTGCGAATCTTGGTAGGAAATCATCTTTAATCGGGATGGTGAAATAACGTCGTAATTCCAACACCGGATTATTGTCGTCAAGCCTATCCTGGAAAATAAACTCGTAAAAAAAATCTTCTCGCACTTCACAATAACTGGACCAACATCATACCGCAAAATTCCTCAAGTTCCAACATCTCGGGTAATACAAAAAGACGAGGTTATTCCTGACGACGATATTCCGCGACGAGTTAATTTAGATCGCGACGATATTATTCCAGGCAGACGATGTTAGATCTGACGACGTTTTTCCAGCCACCCCTTTAATCTTGTGGGATACAACATTTTTAAAAGATATTTTCTTTTTACGCTCGTTTTTATAATGTCCAACCACATTATAAGCAACCAATAAATGCACGGAATATTTCCGAAAAATTGTGTGCTTCTTGTAGTAATTTGAAATTTTCGGAATTTACTGAAAAGAAGTCAAACACGTATTCGTGATTGAAAAATTATTTGGTGAGGTTCTTTTTTTTTATGAAAATCAACCTACAAGATGAGCTCGATGAGCAAGCCTAACCTTCTGTGGTGCTGGTTTCAGCTTACCCGGACCCCACTCCTATAGTAAGTGCTCAAGAGGCTACGAGAGCTGCCACTGCACAGGTCAGCTCGGTTCGTCGGCGACATGAATGACTTTTCCCTCGACACCGTGACCCTGTTCACCGGGTCGTTTTTCACGAGCTGGGAATATTTCATTCCGGATGACATGGAACAAACGCCGCAATGGCAATACCCTTTGCATTCCGTGGTCATCACTGGATCTTCCCCGTGGACTCTGTACACGTGAGATCATCGAGTCTGATTATTTATTTTGCAATCAATTGGGTGAAATTGAATAGAAAATATGAAATCTAAAGAAAGCATACTCGTATGCAGTCGTTGACCCTCTCTAAGACGAATCCAGCAAACAGGCCCTAAAAACAATTTCAAGTTGGGGTGAGCTTTGGAGTGGAGGAAAATATATAGCGTAATTATTTGTGAAAGTAAATCAGAAGGAATTTTTTCTGCCCTATTTAGCAAAAATGTCATTAATAGTTGTTCTGCCTGTATACGAAGTTGGGTAATCTCCTGTTAAAGATAGTAAGATCATCTGTTTTCTTGGGTTTTTTTGGAAATGTTATTTTACATTTTAGTTCAACTTGAAAAACTCGAATCCCTGAAACGATTTCATTAAAAGATATTAAAGTTTTTAAAATTTTGGATTACATAAATTCAAAATACATAAATCGCAAGGGTTGTGGTGCATGTCAGGGATTCTTTCTTTTAAACTTAATCCTCCAAAGACTGACTTTCAATCTGAACCGTTCAAAGATATTGAGATTATGCATGATGTCTAAAAATGAGCCCATGCGACAATCATGTTAATAAACTGAAAATTTTGCATAGACATGCACAATAGTTGGAAAATCGATCTGAGAACAGGAGAGGGGGAAAAATGTCCCTATATTTTCAATTGAATTACATACTATGAAATAATCCAATATGAACTTTTAAGAGAATACAAAAAATAACAGAGTACCTTTTTAAAAGTTGCTTTCCCTAATACAGTACAGTACAGTAAAATACTTCACTAAAATAAAACCACACAAACTCTATTATTGCTGCCTCAAAAGATTCTTTTGAATAAATTCCTTTTTTGATGAAATCATTAAATATGAGGACCCATGCCATCTAAATTCAGAAAGAGAGAGAATGTTGAAATATTGTCAGTATTTCATCGCAAGTTTTATAGAGAATTTTTTCAATGCCCTATGAAAATTCGTTGTTGCAAGATTTCCCCTGAAAAGTACAGTATTTGCAATCGCACATCCCTCACAGGGTTAAATTATTCCTTCGTATGCAATGCCAATAGTAAATGAACCCAGCATAGCATCCCGTTTTGTTGGAAAAACTGTCCCGCGACAGGAATCAAATTCCACTCTCGCAATTTCCGTTAGATATTTTTGCAATTGTGTCCTGTGCTTAATATCCACAGGCAAAAAGGGTACACGGGTGCCAGCGCTTGCCTGTACCCGGGCCAGCAACAGAACCCGGGCCTGTACCCGACTGCAGCGTACCTCGGAAACACAGCTGGTTGGGTTGTGAAGTCCGTCAGACGAGGATGTCATGCCACAACCCAGTTGCGTTCCATTAATGCCGACGAACGCAACTCTGACGATGTACAGCGCCAATACCAGGGTCCACACTTCGTCCGTTAATAAGACATGAATCAAACGGCAAGAAAAGGATTTTGATGTCCTCCGCATCAGCTGGCGTGGTTTTTTGAAATTTTTCCTCCGGAATGTACTAATATACAGAGTATAACCTCATTAACTCAAACCTCCTTATGCAGCAAAAAGTCGCGATATTTTTGCCAAAGTGTGTCCCCAGCAAGAGCTTTGCAAATTTTAAAACCTGCTTTTGGAACTATCAAGGCCTAAGTCAGGAAAAAGTCCAATGTATACATTTTTTTTTTATAATCCTGCAGAAAATTTTGCTTGAAAGGGGGAAAAAATTCCTCAGTGGGTGGCGCTTTTTCATGCATTCCCATCAGCATAGAATTAACATTTGGGATTTTTTGAGACAATGGGATTTTCTGCACCCAGATTTTTCCCAGCTTAGGCCTTTGGAACCTGGGGGCATTTCAGTGACCTTTGGTCAATCCGCCCCCCCCCCCCCCCATCCTTCGAAAAATCCCAGCTTTGCTGCAAGACAGCCAGGAACTCTCAGCCATCCAAGGGTTGTTGAGTCAAATTCTTTTCATCTCCCTGTCGGAATTACCTTAGAGACAATGCAGTAAAATCCTCTCTGACTCAAATGCTTTCCCTCCTCAAACCTCCATAACTTGAATTTGCTAAGGCCTTTTGGTTATTATTTTCTTGACACACAAAAGAAAAAAGCAGAAGAAAATGATGAAAGACTAATTTGGCAAATGAACCCCTGCCTCCAAGTTCAGCATCCTGTCAACTTGATTAAGATGCAACTTAAGGCCCAGAATATTCCCATTTACAATTTCTTGGAAATTTTCAATGTTTTCCACAACAAAAATGCTTGCTTCCCTTTAACTCTAAACTTTCTGAAGTAAATTTGTTTTCCATTGTTCCCTTGAAATTCAACTTAGAGAGGTTTGACTGCATTGCCATATTTACTCACATACCACAAGAACGTTTTTTTTTCTGTAAAATCAAGGCAGCAAATTTGGAGGGTATACATTTTCTGGCTGAAAATAAATTAAGAAATTAGGGGTTGTGACGCTTACATAAGTTATAGCTTTTTATAGGTGCAAGTACTTAACAGGGAATTATTTTGGCTCAAATCCAGTAAAAATGCTCTGTATTATTATATTTACTCATGGGATATTTTATTTTTTTTCAATATTATAATTTGAAAAAATGTGGGTGCACGTATAAAATTTATGCGTGGATACATTTTTGGGCAACTCTCATACAAAAAAAAACTAGGGTGCGTGTCGTAATTGAGTAAATGCGGTATAAATTACGAAATTTCCATTGTTTTTGTGACAAATCTGCCTGGATATCGAGTCAGATCCATGGCTTTGACGCAAATTAGGAGCATACGATATTCCCTGCTTATTCCCTGTTTTCCAACACCATGCGTGTCTTTAGGCCACACTTTTTTTCTAAAAATAATGGCCTGCAAAACTTCATGGTGAAAAATAAATTTATAAATCAGTTATTCAAGGATAGGCCGCATCGAAGTCTCATATAGAAAGAAACGCTTTTTTTTTAGGCATCAAAAGCAGAGCTCAAATGTTTCCTCAACATTGGCTCAATTATTCCTATACCCCCGGAAAATGTACAGTATCTCAAAAATATATTGTATGTTCCCAATCCGTTATAGTGCCTAAGAATTTATACGACCTGTACTTCATTTGCTCACGGTGTTTCCTCGGAAAATTTTGAAGTTGTTCTGTGCATAGCCCACATTTACCGCGGAAATTGTCTCTCCTCTGTCAAAAGAGATTTTCTTTTCCTTGAATCTGGCGGCGTAAATATTTTTCCTCTTTTCACAGCATATTTATTCAATATTTGTCCCTTATCAAACTCGATTTTTTCATAGTAAAATTGGTAATATTTTTACTAAAACTGTGTAAAGCGTACAATTTCAAATGTTTGAACTCTCACGTCGCTAATTTAAAAGCTCAATTCGTTTATATCTCGGGAGCATCTTGAGTGCACCACCTTTTGTCGAGGTGCTGTCCAAATACCATTATACTTTACTTGAAAAATGTTACTTCATGCCAGTGACACAAAAAGTTGGAAAAAGTACAGTATTTCTGTGCTTTTTTTTCTTATTTTTAAAATTGAAATCATGGAACCCTTGACAGGGAAGAACAGAGAAAACTGATCAAGGAACCGCAAGAACCGAACAGCCAAGTTTTTAGAATCAGTTGAAAAAGTGGAATTTTATCGCGACGTTGATCTGACGTTTGATGACGATGGCAAATTTTTTATTTTATTTTAAAGACTGTTTTATTGTATTTTTATACTGGTCAACGGCTTTCTGAGTTTCCGTCAGAAGCCTGAAGCGATTCGCTGAATTATGCAGTGTGATATACTGTAATTCGCGGAAATCGTCGTCATATAATTGAACCGCGAAAGAACGATCGCTATTTATTATTGCAGATTGTATTTGTGTCATGAACTGTCGAAATATTAGTAAAATACACATTTGATTTATTTTGGCACTTTTTTGCATGTGGGATCTTTATGTACTACAATAACCTTCCACTTTTCGCACGCCGTTTAATCCGGTATTATACGCAAGAGGCTTTGCTTCTTGATTCATGAATTTCGAAATCCTTTTCGTTCATTCAATCCTTGAATCTGCTTATGTTTGCATGGATAGAATGTAATTCGTTTTATTAAATGTCCTTACATGCATTCAAACTTTGGCGAATCAATTTCCAAACAATGACATCATCATCAAGTGCTGGTTGAATGACAAATGGATAGAAAAAGTATTCTCAAGATTTTATGTCAATATAAATGAAAATTGGTGGCATTGGTGCAAAACTTAAAATTTGGTTGATCACTCGTTTAAATGCCGAAATTTGAAACGGTATTCTCATTGAACACTTCTGGTAATGAGGTGAAACGCCTTGAAAGTCTTTTGTCTATATCAAAATAAAAAAGGCCGTTGGTTCACAAAATCATTTTTAATACCTTCATCAAATGAATATTTCTGGAGAAGAGGAGAAGAACATATGTCAAGTGAAGCACATTACTCTGGGTTGAAGTGATTAAATTCGGTAAAAATCCCGACTTGCAAACTTTGGAGGGAGAAATAATTTTTGAAAGATTTGATCCAATCATTTAATCAAAATAGACGTTATTCCAGCACATAATCATTGGATTTTTGAAGAGCTGTAAATCATCAAAAAGGAAGGAAAAATCGATACTTGGGAATACGATAAGAAAATAATGTGCATATGATTGCTACAAAATTGGAATGATCAACGATTTCACAGAAAAAAATATGTCTCAATTGTCTAGGAGTCATGCAAAAAATTGTTGCCCGCGAAAAACTCCAGACTAAAAACAAACAACTAAATAAATATTGTTTCACACAGAAACCCTCCAATGTCACATGCGCAACAAAAGCTTTAGATTCGAAAACAAATTTTCCTGTTGAACCCGAATCCGAAAATGTTTCCTGATCAAACATTCGCCAAGTGAATCATGTTTTTCCATAACAAACCAAACTGTGAGTCGGAAACAGTTGATTTTTCGGCGACAGAAATAAATGAGTTCTGACCTTCCACAAGGTCAATAGACAAAACCATTGTTATCTTGGCCATTCGATGTTTTTTTTCAATTTGTTGACTCCTGAATTCATATCTGCAGTAGCCTGTTGTTTCAATATTTGTGCAGTTGAATTTAATCGCACGACGGATTCCAAAACTTATAAAAGAAACGCGACATTCTCTTCTCAAGCTTCGTCCGGATTTTTTTTGTTGGAACAATACCTATTGATCTGCCAACACCAGCAGGAGTTTCATTCGGAACAGCTGAAAATTCATCAATAAATAATAATTACTGTACTATATAAATTTTGAAACACGTGTTATTTTTTCAATTCAGACGGGGAAAGGCGTCCTAAAGCCATCATTGCGAAATAATTAAGGTGTGATTACCTCTTTATTCGGCAAATACGCGAATATTCCAGGGGTTACCAGCATATAATTATAACGTTGGTGTCAAAGGAATATATTTGGGACAGTGTAAAAAAAAAGCTTGGAATCATTCGAAAAATAAAAATAAAAATTTTACCCACAAGGCAAAACCAAGAGAAAAGTGTGGCCCTCTTTTTCAGAGCAATTTCTAGTCTCATTATTCATCCACCAAAGCAGCCCAAACAAACAAGAAGCAGGTTATGTTTTAGTAGAATTCCCTTCTCAATTTTCTAAATTCATGTTTTCTTCATGAAAAGACACTTTTAATTTTTTTATTTTTCCTGAACACAGGTTGATGTTGATGCAAAATCGACGGTATGAAAAAAGTGTTTGAATTAGTGCAAGGCATGGAATGGATCGCATTCTCGTTCGTCGTTGTCGCATTTCTAGCAGCGTTTGTGTCGTCGAAAAGCGCTTATTATTTGCATTCAGAAGAATTGACAAACGAGATCGCGAACCAAATTGAAACTTCGCGAGAAAATCAAACCGATTCACAAGAACCTTTTGCACCAAATGTCTCAACAGCAATTGAGTTATCTTCAGATGAAATGGAAGTTGAGCAAGGACTTTCTTGGATCACGCAAGTGACAGAACATGCCAATTTTGCACGCTGGGAAACAGGAATGTATGGATTCCATCCACCAAGTCAATCAGCAAATCAATTTGTTTCTTTGTACGACGAACGTGATCTAATTGGAACTCACTGGAATTTAGTTGGCAATTATTGTCCTGATTTGAAGCTTTGTTTCCGGAACGACTTGGACGACAAAATCTCGAGCATTGAATTGTCGGGGATGTGAGTAACAGAATAATTTTTTTATACTTTAATTGATGCCTTTATTATATTATGCTCAGTTTGGCCTCTTTTGAAATGAAATTAGTTCCGGATGAGGTGTGTGAAGCAATTTTCGCATTCATCTTCGACTAATATTCAAAATATACGTTGGCAAGGAAAGCTTTGGAGAGTAAATATTTTATATAAGAAAATCTGGATTTAATTAGGTAGCGCTTGAAAAAACAGAAAGCAATTGGACCAATCGTCCAGCAGGCATATCTCTTTTTTATGTTTCTTTAAATATCTGAAAAATCTCAAGTTAGAAATCATTAAATTTTATTTGAAATCTTGTTAAATTCTTTTCCTTGTTGAATTCATATCACCGCAATGACTATTTCTGGGAAGAAATTCGAAAAGATTTGAATTTATTTTCGAGGAAAACTATCGCTTTTCAACTCCGATGCGATATTTACCAAAGGACCTCGTTCTATTTCGGAGATATCTTCATTTGAAAACAACAGTATTTAATTTGTTACACTCAGATTTAAATAGAACTTTTCGAACAAGCTGGAAAATGTTTTGTTGATTTATTAAGGTTGATGAGCCGATTCCAGTGTTCGGCGCAGTGCTCCTTGATTTTAAAGAAAGTCGCATTCCAAGAAAAATAATAAAGTATTTGGATTTGATTTCAGATGGATTTTCTATTTTGGAGAGTAAATATTTTATATAAGAAAATCTGGATTTAATTAGGTAGCGCTTGAAAAAACAGAAAGCAATTGGACCAATCGTCCAGCAGGCATATCTCTTTTTTATGTTTCTTTAAATATCTGAAGAATCTCAAGTTAGAAATCATTAAATTTTATTTGAAATCTTGTTTCATACTTTTCCTTGTTGAATTCATATCACCGCAATGACTATTTCTGGGAAGAAATTCGAAAAGATTTGAATTTATTTTCGAGGAAAACTATCGCTTTTCAACTCCAATGCGATATTTACCAAAGGACCTCGTTCTATTTCGGAGATATCTTCATTTGAAAACTACAGTATTTAATTTGTTACACTCAGATTTAAATAGAACTTTTCGAACAAGCTGGAAAATAAAAACAACTAAATAATTCCAACTACTCGGCTAAGGTCACAAGCCGCGTCACGAGGAACTAAAATTTCTTTCAGCGTAAGGTTCTTTTTATTATTTCATAAACCTAAACTAAAGTCTACCTAAAAGATCGAAGACTACAAATTCGGGATCGACGGAGACGATGGAGACGTTTTGTGGGCCTGGGGAGTGTTGTCAGCCAAGTTGAACTTACCAGATTACTTACTGCGGTAAAGAAGGCAGTCTAAACAACCTGGAAGCGTTCTGAAGAAGCCACTAAGGAACTGGCATAAAAGCAGCTGCATGGAGTCTCCATACGAATATTTCACCCTCAGAAATTCGCCGATTTTCCTGGGATTTAATTTCACTGTACAATCAGCTGTCGTGACTGGAGCATATCCATGGACCGTTTACGAGTGAGTCTTTTCAACATGTTTTTATTCCTCAGTTTCCATCATTTTGTGCTTTGTAAATGAGCATTCTTCAGATTTATTCAACAATAGACGACGGAATAAAAATATACATATTGAAGCAGAGTGTTTTTCCTCACCTCTTTGATCCTCGCGAGATTTCAGATCAATTGATCTTTTCAAAATTCTCTAGATTATGAAACCAAGTTTTTCCGAATTGAACTTGAATATTCGCCAAAAATATACAGTATTTGAATCAATTTTTATAATTTTAAGTTTATTAAACATGACTTCAAATAATAATAAAAAAACAATATTGAAAATCTTAATTTGAGGAATACGTCAAACTCTCGGATTTTGAAAGCTCATAATTGGAATTGATGAGAAATCTTTCGAAAAAGTATGAAAAGAAAGGAAAACGCTGCTGAATTTTTTAGGAAAATTTTATGCTGCCTGCGTGCGGATAAAATAAAGTTCACTTGTTATTATTGCATTCGAACTGTAGTCAATAACTTTTCATGAACAAAAGTAACCCCTTCTTAAGTTGTCCATTTAACTTTTTTTAATCACAAAGTTCTCCAGACATTTTGGGCATCAAAAACATCGATTTTTTTTTTCATTGAAAGGAATTCAAGCTATATTGATTCATACTTTTCAGACAGGGGTTTTTTGGAGGCAACAAGGTGTGCCTCACACCTGGGTGGTCGAGAAATCCGAGCTTTTTCGCAGACCCGAGTCAGTTCGGAATCCGCCAAATCAAGTCCGCGATTCGAGGATGCGCTCATGGAACAAAAAAAGCTGTTGGATCAACAACAGCGTCCGAAAATCACGCCTTTTTCAGCTTTCAATCATGAAATGGCGTCGATGACACGGAACAGCAGTGCGAATCGAAAACTGCAAAAAGGCGCAACGAACCGTTGTTAGCTATATATCTGAATCAGTTGGTGCTTTCAATATACTGTACCATGAAATGCAATGCTCCCCTTTTTTTTCCTGTGTACGTACGTGTTCCTTGATTTCGCTTTTATAATAACGCATGCATTTTTCTTCCATTTCGTAGAATTTATTGTTGTTCAAAAATCCGAGAATGTGATGGTAAAAGGAAATTTTCCGGTGGTGTGAGAAATTTGATTTTAATCGGCAGATCAATTCTCTATACTGACTTATTTCCACTTAATGTACTGTTGAAACTTTCATAATTTGAGAGTTTTTGATCAGGAATGTCGTTAAGCAGAACGTGACAATAATTCTTCTTCCTCCTCTGCCTTAAAACAATAAATTCCCAAGCGAACATTTGTGCTTCGAGCGATATGCCGTTTTCTTCGCTAATCAACATGAAATTGAACACCTGGTTTTCGGGAGAAAAACGCAAACAAGAAAATTAGTAGATTATCAGTAATTTGCAACGTCACACAATAAATGCGAAAAGTTCTTCGAACTTCGTAACGCTCAGATAACAATAACTTTTTGTCTTCAATGGAGTATCTTTCGCCGAAACAAATCCATAATTAACGTCATTACTTCGAGCTAGAAGAGCGATTCGTGTGTGAAAAAAAAAACATTGTCTGCGTAAATTTATGCTTTTTAGTGAGAATATTTTCTACCTCTGAGGTACGTCGACGAAAATACGGTCAAGGAATCACCGAAGAAGTCTTGCGAAGGTCCAACAAATCTGACGGAAGAAATGGCGTCATTCATTAGACCATTCAAGTTGAACCGACTGTTGTGATTCACAAATGGGCGGCTCAGAGAACGCTGCATAAAAAGGTCAATAATGTTCTCGGGATTTCCCATAGTTCCCTGAGCAAAGTCTGGGATCCCTAAATGTGATATTGAAGATATAAGTATACAGTACAGTCAAATCCCAATAATAAGATGCCACCATTTGTCCAGAGCAATTTTGGTGGTTTAAAGGCGTTGGCGGTTTATTGAATATTTCATTTTAAATTATTAGATCAAAAATATTCAATTTTCCTCCATCAGTCATAGAGATACTGTACAAATTTCCTAGAAACTTCAGTGATTTTCCAAACATTATTGCTGTGATCAATGGATTACTCTTTCAGAAAATTAATTTTGCTGCATCAATTTATTCAAATTTTAAGATTAGGTCAATATATTGTTCAAATTTTTCAAAAAAATGATCATTATTATTTTTTAATCTTAAAAATGCAAGATCCTTGACAGGAATTATAATTCTACCCCAATGTTGGCATTGCAACAAAGAAAAAACTAATAGGAAACAGCACTTTTGTTTCATCACTAATGCTGGTGGATGGCAGTTGGCGTCTTATCAAGGTTTTCTATAGAATTTAACATGGAGGAGATTTGTTTCTGTCAAAATGTTGGCGGTTGCCAAGGGTGGTGCTTTATCGGGGGGCGTCTTAATAGGGTTTGACTGTTCAATATAATTTATTTAGACGTTATTAAAATTAAAAGAAAACATGAAAACAATCGTGTTTCTCGTGATTTGCGGAGTCGCTTTCGGCGCATCGGAAACTAGAGATTCGATGTCGAACAAACCTTTCAGAAACGCAGCCAGGTGAGTCTTATAAATTAAATCGTGCTTCAATTATTCCAGTTATTATCCGGTACATCATATTATATATTTTAAAAAATACATCTTCTCGTGCCGATCGAATTATGTTTTGCATCTTTGATCTTTTTTCCGTCGTCCTCAAAAAACAAAAAGCGATGGGAGCAAACAAGATCGTTTCCAGGCTGTGCAATTATTCAGCGAACATGGACAAGCCGGAATCATTGCGACTCTTTACGCAGAATACTGCGGTGATTTGTCACAATGCTTCGAAGTTTCCCTGGACAACACTATTTCCAGTGCACGGGTTTTCGGAATGTGAGTCTTGAAAATGTGTAAGCCAACACGTTTGAACTTTTCTTGATCACAAGAAATTTGACTGACCCATGTTATACTCCAGCTGTTGACACAGGGCCCATCAAATTAATCATATATAGCATAAGTATTTTCAGT